TTAAGATTGATAGCTCAATGTTGACAGCAGCTAATGGAACCTGGTAAAGCTTTTAAATGATTTTTCAACATTTTATTGTAGCTAGTCCATGCAGTTGCCACAAGAGGGAGCTCTGATGCTAATAATGAACGAAAGTTGATGTACAGGGGAATATGGTGGCTTTTTCAATAGCAAAATAAATCAGGCTGCTGGCAGCTTATGTGGCCAACTAAATTATATAAATGCAATATTACTTCTTTTCTTTTATTAATCCTTCTATTGAGAATATAATTGCTCTTTTAATCAGATCAAAGACCTTTTTTGGTTCAGAGTATGATTTCCAAAGCGTCTCCTGGAAGCTCATAAAAAGGTGTGAAAATTGTAGCCTTTTCTTATGTAACCTTGTTGATATACAGTTGTGACTCAGCAGCAGTCTTCTGTGAGTCTTTTCGGGATGCAAGATTAACTATGCAGCTGGGGCTCGTTAGGGGCACCTTCTGGGGATAAAAGGACGGATGGTGCCACACCCTGGTTGCAGGAGTCAACGTTCCTTCGTTCGTTCAACATTCATTGATCATCGGTCGTGGTTTATTTGAGAGCACTTGGAGAAGTGATTTGCTTTATGTAACCCTGATTCAAGGAGGCACTTGGAGAAGTGCATTGCTTTGTAAGAGTTTTTGTTTTGTATTCTGTTACCTTCTTAAAAGAGACTTTATTTCTATTTATTTTTGGGCTCGAAGCCAGTCTGAGCCGAGAACTGATAAAGAGAGTTCCTTTTAAGTTTGTTTGCCTGTTGTCTGTTAACGAGCGGAGAAGGGGGGAGAGAACAGTTATCTTTAACATAAAATAACCAATTAGATTTCTAGTTAAGTAATTAATATAACCAGAAAAAAATATTGTTTATTAAGATGTCAAAAATGTATTTAGCTATCATTATTCCCCCATGAAATATCTATTTGTAAGTAATTAATACTTTGAACTTTCCACTTCCGTTTTAAAATTTTACAAGACTATTATACAGTGACTTTTCCTATAAAGCAAGAATAAGTTATAAGTAATATTTTCTTTTCTGTTTTTCTCAGCCTGCATTCTCTGAGCACGGTCTCTTAACCACTGTGGCTTACAAATTGGGCAGAGACAAGGATGTCTGTTACGCATTAGAAGTAAGTCAAATTGTTCATTGCAGGTATTTTGGTATTTCAGTTTCAGTGGATGCCAAGCAGCCACTTGAGTTCTGGGATTCAAAAAAATTTACTACTGGTTCTGTGGGCATGGCGTGGCTTGGTAGGTGTGGCTTGGTGGGTGTGGCCTGGTGGGCGTGACAGGTGAAGGATACTGCAAAATCCCCATTCCCTCCTCACTCCAGGGCAAGGATACTGCAAAATCTCCATTTCCACCCCATTCCAGAACGGAATGGGACCCTTCGTCTCCTACCCTTGACTGCCCCTCCTCCAGCATTCCTCCTCTGGTGAATTTCCTCTGACTTTTCTCCTCAGCTGACATGCCCCCACACATTGTCCTCGGCAGTGGGCCACAGCCCCTCCATCCCACAAGCTTCGGCACTGCCCATTCACCGAAGGAGGGTGTCCTGAGTTTTTCACCACCCGGGACAGTTAACCACCAACCAATTGCCTAGCTGCCAATGTCAGCAGCCATAAGCCACGGTGCGATCAATCGCAGCATTGATGCTTGGGGCTTGGGGGAAGGGCTGCTATTCCTCTATATTTGATCGTGCTGGAAGGGAAGGGGAGGGGCTGTAAGTATACCATCTTCATCCAAAGGAAAGGGGAAGAAAAAGAGAGAGAGAGAGAGACATTTGAAGTCCATCCTTCCTTCCCCTCCCTCCCATTCCTCTCTTCTTCCTTCTTTCCTTCATTTCCTCCCATTTCCTCTCCTTCCTTTGTTCCTTCCTTCCCCTCTCTCCCATTTCTCTCCTTCCTTCCTCTCCCTCCTATTCCCTCTCTCCTTTCTTCCTTCCTTCCTTCCTCTCCCTCCCATTCCCTCTCCTTTCTTCCTTTCTCCTCTCTCCCATTGTCTCTCTCCTTCCTTCGCCCTCCCTCTCTTTATCTTTCTTATTTTCTTTCTTTCTTCTCTTTTCTTTCCCTCTTTCTCTTTCTTCCCTTTTCATCCCTCCCATTCCCTCTCTCCTTCCTTCCTTCCTTCCCTCCTCCCCCCTCCCCCCAAGTTGGCTGCTTGTGATCCACTGGAAGATATCAGAGTGATCAGCATTTTTGGGAGGTGGCCAACTATTTAGTGATGGGGGGTGGAGGGTGGGGGTGGCACACTGTCTCCTGATCCATAGACAAGCTTTATTTTCAAGCATCACGGTTTCCTTGCTAATAAAGTGGGATTTCATATTTAAAGCTAATTGCAGGGTTAGGCATTCCACCCTTATGTGAAATACGTTTCAGGAGCAAACCGGTGTAGACAGGAGTGGCCTCATCTAGCCCAAATCCACTAGTGCTCTGAAGAGCAATTCCATTTGTCTTGATCTTGATGCAAATGAGCCCAGCTCATTGCTAGTAATATATTTCTTTTTTTAATGAAATGCAAAGGGGGAGGGAGGGATGATATCGAAAGGGAGACAGATGGAGAGGTTCACCACGATGCTTGCCGACAATCCATTTCTGGAATGGCACCTTACGTCATAGCAGGAAAGCCCAAGGCTATTTTTAGTCCTTGACCTATGACTGCCATCGAGCCCAACATTTTAGTTGCGAAGTGGGACAGTTGTTAAGTGGATTTTGCCTCATTTTATGACTTTCCTTGCCATTGTTCCTAAGGGAATCACTGCAGTTGTTAAGTTAGCAACATTATTAAGTGAATCCGGCTACCCTACTGACTTTGCTTGTCAGAATGAATCAAAATGGGATCAAGTGACCCCGGGGACAAGGGGTTGGACTAGATTACCTCCAAGGTACCTTCGAGGTCGTTTGACTCTGGGACATTGTGACCATAAGTAAGAGTCAGTTGCCAAGCATCCAAATTTGGATCATCTGACCATGGGGATGCTGCAACGGTCATAAGCCCCTTTTTCCAGTGCCATTGTAATTTGAACAGTTGCTAAGTCAGTCACACAGTTGCTAAGTGAATCTAGCTTCCCCGAATCTCTGTTGCAAAGCGAGACAACTGTTCAGTGAGCTTTCACCCACTTTACAACCAGTTTTGCTACCATTGTTAAGTGGATCATTGTTTAAGTCAGTCGGACGATGGTTAAGTGAAACTGGCTATCCCAGTGACTTTGCTTGTTCAGACGGTTGCAAAAGGGAGATGTCACATGACCCCAGGATGTTGCGACCATCATAAATGCGAGTCAGCTGCTGTGCATCCAACTGTAAATCACGTGACCATGCAATGGTCATGAGTATGAAAAATGCTCAACAGTGGCATTGCAATTTTAAACAGTCGCTATATGACACAGTCGTAAGTTGAGGACTACCTATACAGTTTTCCAACTTGATGACGATCCTTGACTTATGACCATCATGGCCAGCCGTTACCGATGTTGTATGTCCATACCTAAGATGCCGGGGGATGGTGGGGAACAGTAGCCCAACTGCAGGATCAGGTGTGGGGTGGGGGGAGAGCAGAATATCAGTTTATTTGATTATTTTCTTCATCTGAAAAGGGACCCCCCCCCTTTTATCTCCCCATCCTCAAAGTTCCCATTTTGTCCATATATCTTGATATCAAGATATAAAAATTGAGGTCCGCATGGAAGACTTTGAGCTACATGGAATGATGGGGGCTGTTTGAAGACCCAAAAGGAAATTCCTTTGTAGCCCCTTTTTTTTCCTGGGGTTTTAGATTGCTCTGGCTTTGATTTTCCTCCCCTTTACGTTTAACAACCTGTAAACAGTTAGAATAGCACTTCAGGAGAACTTAAGATGCCAGAGGTGCAAGGGGTACATTTGCAAGGGATAATGCCAGCAATTGTGGTCTTTACAGTAGAAGCTTTTGGGAATTCCTGTCCCAGAGAACCACTGCCTGGGATTCTGCCAGAGAGGCAACAAGTGACTTGCATGATGGTAAATATTCATCTTATAAACACTGGATCCCCCTCCCTCAACCTGGAGAAGCAATGCGGGCTCCAGACTTCCCCTCTCATTGAACCTGAAGACTGAAGATTCTACAGAAGAAGACAAGGAAATCCATCGCATAAAGCCAAAGGCAGATCAAGGATGCCAGAGGAGCGGGACAGAACCTCGTTTTGTGCTGGCTACAGGGAAAACCATCCCAGAGCAAGCTGCCAGTTCCTGGATGCAATCTGCCAAAGATGCAAGAGAAGGAGAGACATTGGTAAAGCGTGCCAAGCCAACCAAACAGCCATGTACAATCAGCAGGCCAGATACAGACAAAGACAGGCAGAAGGGCAGATCCAAAATCCAAACAGCCGTGGGGAGACCCGATTCGTGATCAACAAAGAAACAACCATAGGTCACTCCAGTGTACAAAACTAAAAAAAAAAAAAAATTCCTTATCACTGTCCTAATCGAGGGGTCCCAATGTGATATGGAGATAGACTCAGGGTCAATCCTGACCACTATGCCCTGGAATAATATAAAAAGGGCAGTCCCGGGACTGGAAAAGAACCAGATGAAACCGCAAAAGTTGGTGTTAAAGACGTTCAAGGAAACAAGCTCCTGTCCTAGGAATCAGATCCTTTCAAGTGGAATTTAAAAAATTCAATGGACAATTGCAGCTGATCATCATACATAATGACATCCCAAGTCTGCTGGGACTGGAACAGATTGAATCTCTGGGTTTAGAAGTAAGGGGCATCCACACGTTCCAAGATGACAGCACCGAGGACCTCATGAAGGAATTCGCAGATTGCTTTGACGGAACTTTGGGCAAGTACACGGGGAAACCCATTTCTTTCAACCTAGATCCCAATGTAGCCACCATCAGAATGAAGCCAAGGAGAATCCCCTTTGCTCTTCGGCTTAAAATAGACAGTCAATTAAACAAACTAATTGCCCAGGAAATTTTGGAGCCGGTAGATCACACTAAGTGGGAGACCACAATAGTCACCCCAATTAAATGGGATGGGTCAATTCGCATCTGCGTGGACGATATATGTACCAAAAATAAAGCTTTGCAACAGCACGCCTACCCAGTGCTGGTCATCCAGCATTTGTTGCATTCACTAGGCAAAGGCACAATATTCACAAAGCTTGATTAAGCACAAGCCTTTCAGCAGCTGCCAGTGGACAATGCCACAGCAGAAGCCCAGACTATTGTAATGCACTGAGGGGCATTTAAATGCCACTGGTTACAATTTGGGGTGAGCACGGCTCCAGGACTTTTTCAGAGTATAATGGAACACCTCCTACAGGGCATTCCAGGAGTAGTGCCTTACTTTGATTATGTCCTCATGTCTGGGGACAACAAAGAAGAGCTAATCCATTGACTAAAGGAAACATTGAGAAGGTTCCAAGAAGCCGGACTTAAGGTTAAAAAAGAGAAATGCACAATAGCTGTACCACAAGTGGCGTTCCTGGGTATTTAATTGATGGTTCAGGCATTCACCCAACCCCAGAAAAGATTAAAACTATAAAGAAAGCCCCTTCACCCAAGAATCAAATGGAACTCCAGGCTTTTCTTGGCCTATTAACCTTTTACAGTATATTTCTGCCACAGAAGGCGACAGTTGCTGAACCATTACACCAACTTCTAGATAAGAAGGCCAGTTGGAACTGTGGAATAAAGAAAACCTCTGACTTCTCCACTGTAAAAGACTTATTGTCATTGGATAGCATCCTTGTCCAATATAATGAGACTTTACCCCTCCTCTTAACATGTGATATATCCCTTTTTCAGATCGGTGTTGTGCTCAGCCATCGCCTGCCAAATGGAACTGAGGGCCCATTTTCATTTTACTCTAAAACGCTATCAGCCACAGAAAGGAAGTACAGCCAGATGGACAAGGTGGCGCTGGCTGCTCTAGTGGGGGTCAAGCATTTTCATGAGTACCTATATGGCATAGACTTTGAACTTGTTACAGATCACAAACCACTTTGGGGCATTATTGCCAGGGACTGCCCCACCCTGACTATGATGTCCCCAAGAATGACTAGATGGACAATTTTCCTGGTGGCATATAACTACAGATTATTACACCAACCAGGCAAAGACATTGGCCATCAGATACCCTCAATGC